GCCCTAAAACATCCTTTCCAGCAGGGTCAAGGTGTGGCCACAAAGCTATTGCTGAGGATAGTAGATCTGGATAGCTGTATAAAAAGAAGACTCTAATTGCAATAAAACAGTTCCAGGGATTTACTTAAGTGAAAGGAGATGTAGTCAAGTGAGGAACACAGGTGAGGTGATGAAGGATGTAGACAACATAATATAATTAATACCCAAGTGATTTATTTGTTGAAGACAAAAACTAAATTAAACTGAGCCATGTTGCATTATGCAGAACAGATTGGTCAAGTGAAAGTGGGATGGTTCTGTGACAACATAGAAGGAATTATTCTAAAAGACACACTTGATGCTAAAATTTCTAGTCACATACATTTGGCTGTTCATTGTGTCAATAAACCCACAATCGAACATGTATTCAATTACAAGATTTTGTTGTATATGTATGTACAGTATGTGTGTTTGTATCAAAAGCAATTTTGTATATACATAAAAAAAGAATGTGTAATTAAAAGTAATTAAAAGTGGCAATGTAAAGGTAGAACCTGAATCCACTTCCTTAAATTGAACCTCTCCAAAACCGAATTTCTTGTCTTCCCCCCAGCCCGGACACCACCCCCCATTGATTTCTCCGTCACATCCAACAACGCTACCATCAAACCCGCCCTGCAGGCCAGAGTACTGGGTGTCATTCTGGACTCCAACCTATCCTTCCAGCCCCAAGTCCAATCTTTAACAAACTCGTGCAGACTCCACCTCCGCAACATCGCCAAAATCCGCATGTTCCTAACCCCAGAAACCACTAAACAGCTCATCCACTCCCTCATCATATCACGACTCGACTACTGCAACTCCCTCCTCACTGGCCTGCCTCGCCGCTGGCTATCCCCGCTTCAGTCCATCCTGAATACGGCTGCCAGACTCATTCACCTTTCCAACCGCTCTGTCTCTGCCACCCCCCTCTGCCAATCCCTCCACTGGCTTCCGATTGCGCAACGGATCAAATTCAAAATCCTAACGCTGACGTACAAAGCTGTCCACCATACTGCCCCGAACTACATCACTGACCTAATATCCAAGTACCGCCCAGCACGCACACTCCGCTCCTCACAAGACCTCCTTCTCTCTAGTTCCCTGGTCTCCTCCTCCCATGCCCGCCTCCAGGACTTCTCCAGGGTGTCACCCATCCTCTGGAACTCCCTGCCCCAACCCATCAGATTATCACCTACTCTCCTCTCCTTTAGGCGCACCCTGAAAACCCATCTCTTCAGGGAAGCCTACCCCACCCCCTGCTAACTTGCCGACCTCCTCCACTCTTCCTACCACTCCATCCCCCACAGCTATCTCCTCCTGTGCCACCACCCCCTCCCTCCTAGATTGTAAGCTCGAAAGAGCAGGGCCCTCGATCCCCTCATGTTTTGCATTGTATTGGTATTGTTCTGTCACATGTTCTGTCCCCCTTTGTAATGTACAGCGCTGAGCGAACTATTGGCGCTTTAGAAATACTGTATAATAATAATAATAATAATAATAATAAATGGTCCGCATGCCAATTGCTGCTGGCCCACAATTACTATACTGGGAACAACTAACCATTTTGTATCAGTAGCAGTTATAGTGTGCCCATGTTGGCACAAGAGAGAATGAGCAGTTAAACATGTTCTCATGAGAATTGTATAGGTGGGAATGTCCCCTCACTTTGTAGAGACCTCTTACTTTCTGCTGTGTCTGTGGAACAGGAAGGAAAGGGAAATATCCCAAGCAAAACACATATATCAAGAAATTGTGGGATCTTAACCATTTACTACTCTCCAAATCCAAAAACAGTTTTAGCTTTACATACACTTTAATAAGTCAAACCTCTGCTCTTCGTTCCCTAGAGTGTTGGTTTTTAGCTGGGTTAGGCAGTGTAAAGCCTCCTACCATTATAAAACGTTTTTTCTATGTTCAATGCCTTATTGAAAGAATCCTCATCTTGTTATTTAATATGTGCTCCATGTTTGATAATGCTGTCTTAAGGGTGAATACTGCTGTACTAGGACATATAGCAATCATATGGGTACCCAAGTTCAAGACAGCAAAAAGAAGTTGTTGGTCACTGAACAGGCACTGACCTAGGGCCCGTGAAGAGAGGGATGGAGATGGGGAAGTGACCAATCCAAAGTTGCAATCAGAAGAGGGGGTAATAGGAAGAGTGTCAGGAAGACTAGTCCTTAATTGACAGACCCTAATAAATATGTCTGACTAGTTTTGGGGATGTAAGTCCTGGATTAGCTGTGCTGCAGAAGAATATATGCCCTAGAAACCAGAAGAATAACTGCTGCACTGAGAATGTAGATAGGAATGAATCCAAGACAAGACAGATGCCTAGGCTGCACTTACTTAACTAAGTGGTATAGGACTTTATGGGCTCAATTCCCTGTAAGGGCCGGTTCACTCCAGGAATCGCTCAGGAACGTGCTATGCATTCCGGTATGATTCACATGCAGCTCTGTTCAGAGTGATTTCAGCCCATTAATTTTGAATGAGATGAAATCACACCGCACTGCAACAAAAGTAGTGCATCTACTACTTTTAGAAACTCACTGCAACCGCATTGCATGGTACTTCTGTACCATGCGATCTGGTGTGGGCAAATGCACTGCATTTGCGACCTGTGTTTAGGGTGCCCTTAACTTATTATTTACACCCGCTGCAGATTGCAACTGCAGTACGTTTTGAACACGGGAAATGTACACAGAGTGTGGGTTTTCCTCTCTGAGTTCTGTTGTAAACTGGCCCTAACAGAGCGATAGATGATATTAGCAGTCTAACTGACCCATTATGTCTCCTTAAAGAGAACCTGTTACCTGCACTATGCTATTACATGGCTTACAAACCCCTTTGTGATAACAATAAAGTAAAAAAGTAAATTAAAGTTTATTAAAATAAATTAATAGGGCCTCTTTCACATGGGCGGTTGTTCTGCCGCTTGTAAATGCATATTTTTTTATTTTGAAATTCCAACACTCCTGGCACTATGCAATCACTTGCGTTTGTAGGTATGTTGCGTTTATCTGCGATTATGTGCATTTACATGCCACTGCATTTAGCATTTAGTAAATTCTTGCCTTTTTTTATAGAAACCATTTACTTATTAAGTGTTCTTGCATGTTATCTCACATATATATTCTTATAGCCAAATTTACCACCCTAACTCCTCCCACAATTTTTACACTACATAGACAGTAATATACTGAAACGTGCAGATTGTTTCCGATTGGTGAGCTATTACTTTGTGGAACGTTTCGCCGAATGGTTCACAAAATATCGGCGTTTTTGTGGTGAGATTGGTCCCATAGGAATGAATAGCGGAATTTTCAAAACTAGAGTGGGAGCTGACAAAAGCTAGAGTGTGACCTGAAAAATCTGGACATGATTTCTAAACTGCCATTACTCCCTCATTTTCAAGCCCACCTACACAAATCTTATATCAAAACGTTCAGCTATCCCTGCTGCCACTGCAAAATGTCAACGGCTAAGCCATAGTCCTGATAGTTTTCACAATATGACCATTTGTTTGCAACTCACGCCGCCCATTGACATTCATTGAAACTCCACTCTAGCCACCTCAAATTTGAAGGGCAATATCTAAACTGCAACTGTGCCTTCATTTTTAATATTTCACAAACTATGCACCAAAATGTAGGTCTGGGTCTTGTGATTCTCACAATATAAAATGCATTTCTCACTCTATCAAGCCTGCCATGTGCACTTTTTAAATTTGATCAATCAATTGGTTAGTGTAATGTTTACTATCTTTACTCACTCCAAACACTCCACACAGTTACTCTGCCCACTCCATAAAGTTACTCTGCCCAGTCCAACCTTTTCACAGTTACTCCAGCCACTCCAACCACACAACAGTTACTCAAGCCACTCCACCCAGTTACTCTGCCCAGTTGTAGACTAATGGTGGAGGCAAGAACACTTCACACAATGTCCCCAGAAATTGTAGCTTTTCTAGTTTTTTCTTTGTACTGCGATTACCTGCATTTATGTACAGATAGCTGCAGTACATCACTCCTGGACGCTGTTAACTTTATTTTTCCTAAACGCAAAAAACGGTATGTTATGTAAACGTTGCTAAACACAGTGTGTGAATTAAGCCATAGGTATGCATTGTCTGCATTTAACTGCGGTAAATAAGTTCCTCTAAACGCAGCTAAAAGCTGAAATCTAACCGCTTGTGTGAAAGGGGCCTTACACTCCAAAAAATGTTTAAAGTCCCCCATCCACACATACACATGTATACTTGCGTCGTGTGTGCATGTATCAAAAACAACCACACATACCAGAGAGGGCAAACATACTACAGCCATCATTTACTTTTATCTCTAAACTGATATGCTGTAAAGGCTTTTAAATTGTCACCTATGGACAATTTTGGTACCATAGTTTTTTGTCATTTCATGGGCATGCACAATATTCAGCCTTGACATATTTGGTATCCATTTCCTCAACACAACCTGATCTTTTTATATTTTACTCAAGGACTGGGCATTATATTGTGTTTGTGCACGCTAAAATTAACTTGATTATATATTCTACCGAATATATACAATTGATAAACTGGATCAAGTCTCTGCCTTCAAAAAATATAAAATGTTTTGGGTGTTTAACCGCCTCTTGCCCGCCATATAAGGTAATGATGGGCGCAAGGCGGTTCTCTCATTCTGGGAGAACGTCATATGATGTCCTCCCACTCTGACCGCGCATGCGCGGCTCCGGGGGAGCGCGCAGCGGAGATCGGTGGTGCACTGTATCCCTCAGACACAGCAACTCAGCGATCAATGGAAAAAAACTGACGATGTCCGCTCGGTCATGTGATCAGCTGTGTCCAATCACCGCTGATCGCATGTAAATAGGGAAATGCCGGTTATCAGCATTTCTCTCCTCACAAGCTGTCATGCTGACAGCTCGAGAGGAAAGGAGAGCCGTTAATCGGCATCCCTCAGAGGGGACATGTACACTGCAGGTGTAGCCCCAGCAGTGCCACCTGTCAGTGTCCATCAATGCCAGCTATCAGTGCCCATCAATGTCATCTGCCAGAGCCCATCAGTGCCACAACAATGCCACATATCAGTGCCTACTAGTGCACATCAGTTCCACATATCAGTGCCCATCTGAGCTGCTTTTCAGTGCCACCTATCAGTGCTGCCAGTCAGTGTCACCTATCAGTGCTGCCAGTCAGTGCCACCTATCAGTGCTGCCAGTCAGTGCCACCTATCAGTGTCAGTCAGTGCCACCTATCAGGGCCAGTCAGTGCCGCCTATCAGTACCCTTCAGTACTGCCTATCAGTGCCACCTAACAGTGCCAGTCAGTGCCGCCTATCAGTGCCATATATGAGTTCTGCCTTTCCGTGCCCATCAGTGATGCCTGTCAATATCCATCAGTGCCACCTACCAGTGCCTCCTCATCAGTGCCACCTACTACTGCCTCCTCATCAGTGCCCATCAGTGCCGCCTATCAGTGCAGCCTATCAGTTCCCATCACTGCAGCCTCATTTTAGCGCACATCAGTGAAGGAGAAAAATCACTTATTTACAAAATTTTATAACAAAAAATAAGAAAACATTTTTTTTTTCAAAATTTTCTGTTGTTTTTGGTTTGTTTATCAAATTAAATACCACCAAAAGAAAGCTCTATCTGTCTCAAAAAAATGATAAAAATGTAATATGGGTACAGTGTTGCATGACCGCGCAATTGTCATTCAAAGTGCAACAGCGCTGAAAGCTGAAAATTGGCCTGGGCAGGAAGGGGGTATAAGTGCCCTGTAGGCAAGTGGTTAAAGTATTCTGTGACAATTGTGCACATAGAGACCTGGACACTGGCAGCCATTTTGTTTCCTGATCCTCCCTCCTCCCTTTTGAATGGAATGTGAGTCTGTAAGTGAACAGGGGTCAAAAGTGCATATGCACAGCTGGATATGCTCCATGGCTGTAAATCCCTAATTAGCCTGGTTCCAGAAGGTCTGCTGGAAAAACCACTTTCCTCTGCCCGGTCGTAAAACCATAACTCAGTCGGTCATGACCTGTTGGGCCATAAAACGTACATTCCACAAGAGTCATTTTTCATACAAATTCATAAACTTCAGCAGGAACAGGGCACATTGATATGAAGTATATATTTGTAATTTTAATATGAGTCACATGACACCTTACATCCCTATGTAGCGCCTACAAGAGGGTTGAAAGCAATATCTTTTATCCGGAGTGGCAAGATATGCTAAAGTTTGGTATCTGTGCGAGCGGAATATAATTCTAAATATGAATCTGCCAGTTGCTAGGATGCTACCTGTACCTATTGAAGGTTATTGACCGTAGTATGAACTTGTAAGGGATTTGGTCCTAACCTTGGTCACCGCCTAACACCCATCCCCAAATGGGGTGATTGGCTATTTGTTCTCAGGGACACCCCTATAATAGAAAAAGACTGACAGCCTGGAGAAAAGGTAGCTCTCCCTTTAACATCAATCAGGAACCATCTTGAGAGCAAAATCAACCTTTTGTTTTTGGACAATTGGACTCTGCTCAAACCAAGGACTTTCGCAAGTATTCTGCCTTCTGAAACTTCTTTCTTTTATTTCTCTGTTGTTTTATTACTCTCTTTATATATATATATTTGTCACTTGTTCTGTAAATATTTTAATTGCACCATTTTGACCTTTTTAGTATTAAATCCTATTTTTTTAAAAAGTGTTGAACTGTCTTTAAAGCTTTTAATGCAAACTAAAGAGTCCCTGTCTCTGAAGAGTGCTACTGTATGTGATAATCCTCTGAATACATCTGTCTATGGTGAAAGTATGTATTACAGAAGCTTATATTAATATCATAGCGTTGCTGCTAAGAGTTGTGAGTTTCCTCCTTCTCTGCAAAAAGGTGGTGGTGGCAGTGTAAAGGTTTAATTGCGTAATTAACCTGACCCAGTAACAATCGCTCTCAGGCTGCTGGCACATAGATTGTGGTTCCGCAAGCTGGAAAATCTTTGTGCAGGGCGCAACTGAGAGTGGCATTGTTACGCAAGTGACAGCGCGGTGCGAGATTGGATGGTCCTTCGGTCACAAGTTGGTGAGAAGGGCTGGAGTCTGACGCCGCGCAACCATCACATAATCTTCTGGCATAAAATATTCATTATAACATGTGCAAAAAGCAAAAAAAAAACTCTGGCAGTAAAAAGGCTAAACAGAAGTATACATTCTCTGTGAAGCAAAACAACTTATGATAGTTTCTTAGTGATATTATGGGAAAATGCCTCAAGTTTGGCACACCACCACACCACTTTTATCTCACAAATGTCTAGATTTTGGCATAGGTAATGGACCAGAACATATCTAAGGTGACAATTAGGAAGCATTTGGGCAACAGTAACCACAGTACATTTGAGTTGATTTTTAACAAAAATGTTTGGCAATGGTGTTCCAGAAGTTATGTATTTCAGGAAAGTACAAGCACTTAAAGTGGAATTCCAGGCTAGAACTATCTAAGCTTAAAACTGCATGTCCCTTCTAATGCCTACATTAACCAGCCTGTGAAAGGAGGATACTTACTGTACCTATTCTCAAAGCACTCTAGTCCAGTCACGTGATCAGCTCCTAGGGTAGTGGAGGGACAGCCGACAATGAATGTCCCATAGTAAGCCTCTAAGTGACATCATAGCTAAGACATTCCATCTATTGTCGGCACTCTCTCCTCTCCCCTGAATCCGGCCACTGGGGAGATCAAGTGGTTGGACCGGAGAGTTCTGAAAATAGGCAAGTATATGAATCTTCCCAGGGTTGTATCATGAAATCAGTGAGCCTGTGTGAAAGATCAAAAGTAGCCCCCCCCCCCCCCCCCCAAGCATTGAAAAGGGGAAAAAATTAGGCATGTGAAGTGAAAAGTAGGCGTGGTTTAAATTGTGCTAACTACTGGCTGTGGCTTACAGGGTGTGGTTGAATAGTCTCAGATTACTTACATAATGTAGAATGCGGTAATGTTAAATAGGGAATGTACAGTGCAGAACGAGGGGGCAAAGATGCCACGTGCGAACCTTGCCCAAACCAAAACGGTTGAATCTTGTATAGAGTGGCTGTGTTTGCATATTGTACCAAAATGACAACCCTAGATTTTTGAACCATTAAGAAAATTTACAGGATAGGGAGGGGTGTTTCACATGTGGAATGTAGTAAAAAAAAAGGTGAAACAAAGTTAATCTTGCTATCTGGGAAACAAGGTAGCTTATAACACACTCCACTCAGCAGGGCCAGGACCCCGGTACTCAAACTGCCATTCTAAACACCTGGGCTGGGTCTGGGGGGGGGGGGGGGGAGTCTCTCTTACAAAAGAAACACATCCGCCCCTCCACTCAACAGGGCCAGGACTGAGGTTCTCCCACTGTCTGGGCTGGCTAAGGGGTTTCTCAGCTGGCTGAGGGGGGTCTCTCTTACCAAAAAAAACATACGTGCACAACTCACCTCACCAGGGCCACCAGGTATACCCGAGTCCCCTGTCCCACCACCACAGTAGCCACTGCATCAGTACAGGCTGCAGTCTTACCAAAGAAACATGTGTGCCATTCCAGTCAGCAGGGCTAGGATCCAGGTACTCTCACTGCCACTCTATATATCTGGGCTGGACCTGGGAGGGTCTCTCTTACCAAAGAAACACGTGTGCCACTCCACTCAGCAGGGCCAGGACCCAGGTACTCCCGCTGCTGGAGGGGGGGGGGGCTCTCTTACCAAAAAAAAAAAAAACTTGTGTGTGCCAATCCACTCAGCAGGGTCACCAGGTACCATACACCCAAATTCACTGCCAACCCCATCAGTACAACAAGCTGCATGCAGCAGAGGCATAACTAGAACCCTTAGGGCCCCAGTGAAAGAAACCATGAAGGGTCCCCCTGACCCAAACCCAGGGTCCTTTATAGAGTTCCCTCTTACATCAGAGTCCACAGTGTTCAGTGTTCTCCCCTACATCAGAGTTCACAGAATTCCTCCGTACTGCAGAGTCCACAAAGCTTCCTCTTGCACTGTAAGAGTGAACTCTGCTGACTCTGATGTAAGGGGTAATTCTGGGAGCTCTGATTTAAGGTGAAATACTGGGAACTGATGTGGGGGGAGCTCTGATGACCAAAGACTCCCTTATATCAGATTTCCCCTTTACACCAGAGTCTGCAGAGTGAATACACTAAGGTAATGGAGTTCAATGATGTAAGAGGGGAGTAAGGACACTGATATAAAGGGGGACCTTGATATCAGTGTCCCCCCTTATGTCAGTGACCATCCAACCAGTGACTGACTGCTGCACAGACTCCACAGTGACCTGGAGCTGTCACACACTGATCTCCTGTAATTGACTGGCTTAATCGTTTTGTCCTCCTCTCCCCCTGCATGGCCTCCTTGCATTCGCTTTTAAATTAACGGGAAAATCGCCATGACTCACCGAGTACCTGACTAGCGGCCGAAGCCCAGCTGAGACAAATCCAGTGCTGAGCTTAGCCGATTACTGACCATCCGGCTGCGGAAATGCGCAAGTGCAGTTCTGGAGCCAGCTGATCAGTAATTGGCTGAGCTTGGCTTGGACGGGTGGGCGGTCCTTTGGTCAGGCACCTGGTGACGCAAATTTGAAAGCCACTGCATGGATGCGCGTGGGAGGGGGAGGAGGCTTGAGGCCCCCCCCCCGTAGTGGTGGAACATCAAGCCCCAATTGAAGTGTGACCTTTGCAATCCTTGTAGTTCCACCACTGACAGGAATTCAGCTTTAATTTACCATTCAAGAAATCTTTGAAGCAACAGTCTAATGCCTGAGAAATCATGGGTAGGCAGTGCACCTAATGCCAAGAGAGTACAGGGTTTCCAGCACTGGAGGATGGACAAAGATGTCAAAAAGAGAGGACAGATCAAAGAGAAGAAAATTACAAAATCATCAGCTTTAGTAAGCATAATTTCAGCTGAATGTGATGGAAAAAGCAATTTAAAATAGTAAGCCTGGAGCAGAACTCTGAATGACGGTGGGGAAATTCCAGCTCCTGTCACAACTGAGAGCCAGCTGAGACTGAACCAGTGCTGAGCTCAGTTGATTACTGATCAGCAGACTCTGGATTAGTAATCGGCTAAGCTCAGTTCGGGTAGGATCAGGTCCACTGATCAGGTGCGCTATGCTGTTATGCCACTTGGTGCTTTCCCCAGAAATCTCAAAGCGACTGCAAGGAGGGCTCTGAGGGGGGGGAAGGGGGAGGCTTGGGGCCCCCCCACAGTGGATGAACACCAGGGCCTGGCAGTTTTGCCACTGACTTGTAGCTTCCCATTCACTCCTCCGCTGCTGCCCGGATGTGTATCTCCACAGCTCCTCCCTTGCAATTTATGGAGTGTAGGGCGGAGCACACTGGCTGCAGTCAGATCACTCTGCCACTACAGCGGCTGTGGGTAGCAGCAGCATGATCTATGGGCCAGGCATCAGC